TCCTGTCACCTTCATCTCTTACAATCCTTCCTTCTTTCTGTTAAACCCAGCTGAGGGTAGGGGACTTCTTTTCTGGCCGTCACTAAGTGATATTCATCAACTCTGTCATCATTAAAATTACACTTGCCTGAAGCTAGAGGACACCACTTGCAAGATCCAGTCCAGGTCTGAAGACTCCATGAAGGAGCAGAAAAGGAAAACCTGCTCCAGCACTTTTACACCAAGACATGGAATGCTACTCTTAACAACGACATTCAATAAACTCGCGTGCCTAAGTAGACTGTTAACAAAAATCAGTGCAACTTTGAAAGCTGGTTTGGATTCTTGGATAATCAACTGATGTTATCAGCTTTCAAAGAAGAGCAGTGTTGGGGCTGAAAATGCTTGCTGACTGACATTTCTGCCTCAAGTTCCATCCTACGTCAAAGAGCCCAAATGAGGACTTGCACCTTCTCGCTATACCTGTGTGGCTCCCATCAATCCTGGTTCCCTTCTGTCCCCTCGACTGACCAGGTGCTGACCTCAGCTCAGCTCCTTGGTGCAGGTCACTTCTGGCCTTACAACTCTGGCCTCTTGGCTCCACTCTGTGGCCTCCCAGAGATCCTCTTCCCATACACAACCTCAAATCCACCCTGTTCCTGAAATTCAGAGGGATCTTTCACCACCTGGCTCCAGCCCCACCTATCCCTCTAACCAAGTAGGTAACTTCTCAGCCTTCTAGGCCTGCTTCTTCATCTATAAAAGGGTAAGAATAGGCTAAGGATGTACCTCAGGGACAGAGTCCTTGCTTAGCATGGACAGAACCCAGGGTTGAGCCTCAGTACTAGGTGTGTGTGTGTGTGTGTGTGTGATCTCTAAAGTCCCATTTTACTCTAGGAACCAAACTTCTATGAGAGCAAAAGCAAAAGAAATTGTTATGCCTTCTTTTCAACAACAGATGTCACTTCAGCACTGACCAGTATCTTGGATCCTGTCAGCTTTCCTCAAGTCTGTGATACTCCGAACAGAAAGTACAAACCCTTTAGATTCCACTAATCTGGAACAAATAGAGTGGTAAACCCTGCTCTATATATGATTTTAAAGTGTCCCTCCACTTACTCATTTTTTTTGTCTTTTTCCTTTTTATCGGTACCGGGAATTGAACTCATGACTGCCTGATTTCAAGGCAGGCACTTATGCCGCTAAGCTAAACCCCCAGCCCCTGTCCCTCCACTTAGATGCATCTAATCATTAAACAAACACTGAGCACCTATTTGTAATAAATACAGAAGGTCTATTTGCCTCCTCAGCTCCTCCCTTCTCTGCTTCCTGGCTACTGTGGTGGTCAACCACCACCTTTCCTCCACCATACCCTTCTGCCATGAGTTTATGCTTTGGAGCCAGCCAACCGTGGACTGTATGCAGTGGAAACTGTGAGCCAAATAAACCTCTCCTCCTTTAAATTGCAGTTGTTGAACATTTTGTATCAGCAACAGAAAAGTGACTATTATACCATTATACACTATTATGTGCAGCATGAAGGGACAAACTTCACTGTGTGCAGATATAAGCAGGGGTTATGTGCAGCCATAGTTTCATTATCTGGTTGCACATCAGAATCAGCCGAGGGGTTTCCTTTTTTTGATTGAAAAAAGAAATGTACAGTAAGGCACAGTAACTCCTATCTGCAATCTCTGCCCTCAGGATGCTGGGGCAGCATGATGACAATTTTGAGATCAGCCTCAGCTACACAGCAAGTGTGACATCAATGTGGGTGACACAGTAAGACACTGTTCCAAAAGCCAAAACGAACAAAAAATACATAAGGAGGAGGCAAAAGAGGAAAACAAATGACAAAAAAATATTTTAAAGGCCTCCAACACCAGATGCCTAGTTTTCTTGCTTCAAAGCAGTTCTGTTATCAGGTTTTGGGTTTGCTTTGTTTTCTTTTGAGGTACTGTGATGGATTGAGTGCAGGACACTGCTTACCTTAAGCAAAAGCTCTGCCAGTGAGTTACAGAGCCAGCCCCTCTTACAAGTTTTTGTATCCTGCTGCAACCTGCAGGGCTCTTGAGGTTCTTAGGGTGAGGTAAGAAGAGACAAAAGCAAAGGCCCCTTCATTGCAGGGCCTTTTACTTATATCTTTTTAGCAACATAATGTCCATATGACACCCTGTTCTCCTAGCAACCCACTGTTTGGATTGTCTTGGGGCTTGGTGGTTTTTGGGCTGAAGCACCTTCGGCTTGACCCAGGTGCCCTTTGTTCTAGGAAGTGCTATACCTTGAGTGCTCTCAACAGTATCTGCCTGTTACCACATAATGGGAAGAAATAAAATCCAGGCTCCTGTGCCCTGAGCAATGAATTGTAAAGTGGTAAGCAACAAAGTTCAATGCCTATTCCCTCCTCTGCAAAAAAAAAAAAAAAAAAAAAAAAAACCATCAACCTAAATCATATTTATTAAGGTGTTGGGAAGAGGCCACATTCTTCATAAACAGAGGGGGAAAAAAGACATTTAGCCACACGACAGCATTCTTCCTTTCTTAACAGAGGTAACTTCCTGTGACGTTTTGTGGTAACAAGAACCCCACAGTCGTTTCTGTGCTAGTGAGCTATACACCCCTAACAAACCCCTTAAGTTACATCCTTCACACGTAACTCACATAGCCCTTCACTTCCACCTCACTACTAACAGCTACCTATTCTACTTAGGGTCTGAATTCCTCAAACTACCATTGAACAGAAACCACTCAGACTACATCTCTCCCCTCTTACTAACCACAAAGAAACAATAAGAACTCTTACACCTCTTTGTTTTTGATAGAACTGTGAAGGGGAGAAGAGGAGGAGGACTGGCGGCAGCTGAAAAGATAAGAAGTATAAAATATAAGTAACCTTTATTTTGGGAATGCAAAGAGAGACACCCCCGACCCCCTGGGGCATGGCATCTCCACCCCGGGGCCTCTCCCGCCGACACATGGCGTGGGGGAATATAAGTAGCCTAAGCTTAGAGCAGTGCCCTAAGGCCATTAGAGATGCACAGTTATTTCATTGGCACACGTTTGGTGCCAGGGGCAGGTTTCAAAGGGTGGGGGGTATAGGGTTACAGGTAAATCTCTAGGGGCAGGGGAGGCAGGAGCTCCCTAATTCTGGCTGAGGCTTTTCTGGCTACAGTGTCTGGTCTGGGCCAGCAACCCTTTCATATCCTGTCTTATGATTATTAGGAAAAGGGGCGAAGATTTCTCTCTTTAACTACTTCCTGCTGGCTGAGGGCGTTGTACTGGGGTCTAGGGGAGTCGACGGATGACGGTTGATGTCTAGGTAGAAGCTGGTGCCAGGAGTTTTAGCCAGGACAACTTCACTGGTGAATGCATGTATGTTAGACTGAAAAAACAAAGAGACAAGATGTTATGAGGAGACATGGCATTGTCATATTTAAGGACTCAAGTGAGGTAGAGGGAAAGGTGTCTTTGATTTAGACATGTTATTCTATCAGGATGACATTGAGGCAGGAACATTTTGATGGCAAGGCAGAATTCTGAAAAATTAAACGTGGAATTAGGAGGATGAAGTTATGAGGTGCTTATTCCCCCATATGAAAGCATAAAAGTTAAAAGGTAGGTAGGTAAGGCTTGTCTCTGGGATATATGATGTTTTAGAGTCTGTAGGCAATCCTGTTAGAGAGTCCTGCTGCAAAAATGATCATTAATAGAATGTAAGAAATTAAGAAAACCAAAGTGGATAACAAAACATGACAACCTGTGAGTCATAAGGCAGAGATGAGTACCAAAAGGATGGTTAGAACAGGTGTCGGAGGAAGGAGAGGACTGGGACATGCACAAAAATAGGCCCTGTTTGTAACTGGCATAGGTTGACCTTTAATACTCCATGAGACACTGAGGATTTATTAGCCTAAAAACTCAGTAAGAACTCTGTATATGTGGCCTCTTATGTCCACGAATATAGAGAATGTCTTATCTTGAGAGTTTTAATGTGACTTGGACTCTGAGACAGACACCCACAAAGGCGGTTGGCCCCTGTGACCTACGAGGGCTAGAAGTTAGGATGGCCCAGCCACTCTCTGGTGGCCAGGATAGCCCAACAGCCCTGGAGTAAGGTCTCAAAGAATGCCAGGATGAGGCATTTTTTCTGATGTCTTCTGCTGCATTTGAGTGTGGCCCATGGCGGGGGGGGGGTAGCTTTAGCTTGTGTAGATTTGTCTGTCTCAGAACTGCAAGTGTTATTTAAAATATGAAAAACCATATCAAGGTCTCTGTGGAGCTTGAAGGTCAAGTTTTGCCTTGTTGTTTGAGATCTGGACTACAGTAAAAGTTATCTGTAGAATTAAGTAAGTATGTAGGAGCTTAATATTAAAAAATAGCCTCTCTTGAGTGGAACTGAATTGTAAAATAATGTTTGAGTGGAGCCGTGGGACTTTGGAAACACGCAGTGTTTAAGGCAGTTTGAAATTCTGAGATAGTGTCTGTAGGAAGAGCGCAGAGTTGTGCTTGGGGCGGGGTGATCGCCACCACACAGCGCGCAGGGGTGGGCTGACATGGAACATGCAGAGTGGGCGGGGTGAATGCTGGGACATAGCACACAGGGGCGGGCAGAGATCCCACCTAGACGCTACTATGATGCGCTAAGACGGTGCAGGGAAATAACGTATTTCAGCTGTGACTGCCCATGGGGAGTGGGGCTTGGAGGCTTGCAGTGGTGGCCAGAGGTGGCACCTGGCGCCACGGATGGATGGCAGCGGCAGCACGTGCCCGGCACCACGGAGGGGCAGTGCGGCAGCAGCGGCACGTGGTGGGGCTGGGAGACACATAGCCTGAGGCCAAGTGGGCTCTGCTCCCAGAGGCGTAAGACTGGCAGCTGGCAAGTGGCAACCTGTAGGAGCCGGCATGTTTGCGAGGGACGCGTGGCCCAGGGCACGGCGCCAAAAGCCAAACCCGTGGTGTGGACAGTCTCGCGGGTATCTCTCAGCGGCGGAATGAGCCAGCACCGGCACGAATGAGCCGGCGCGGCATGGAACGGGCTGGACAAGGAGCTGAAACTGTGGGGCCCACAGAATTGGAGTGCGATGTGAGAGCAAAAAGAAAAAAAAGCTGTTTAAAATCTAAAGCAGTTTTATGTGAATCTCTTATTGTCTGGTCTCATTTTAATGTCAGTGGCGGGGGATGGGTTGGCACGCACGGGAAACAAAGGAAGCTGGCAGCACGGTGTGGGGGAGAGGAAGCGCGTGCTGGGAAACCAAGAGACGCTGGCAGCGCGTTTGGGGGAACGGTCAGTGGGAGAAAAGGAGGCACTGAGAAAAACTCCGAAAGGCTGCAAGGGAAGAGGCTGTTATCTCTTTAAGTGCGGGGAGGGGGAGGGATCCTGGAGGAGACAAAGGGACAGGGAAGCTGGAGGGAAAGGGGCACATTCTTGAAGCAAAGATAAAAAGTTTTAAAGTGAGGGTCTCTCAGTGTGGGCTGTCCAGAATGGACATCCGCTTGCCCAGAAAGCCCCAAAAGCTCTGGAAAAAATGTGAGGGCCTAGGTTTGGGCTGTCTAAAAGACGTGAAAGGGTCATGAACCCACGCAAAGAGGGGAGAAAATCCACGTGAGCCTGGCTCAGTGGCTGTCTCTGGGGAGTTGCTCACCTGTGGTAAATTGGTGGGTGTTGTTTGGGAACCAGCAGCCAAGTGTAGAATTGCTGAGTGTAGAAGTGAGGAATTATAGGATGCAGTCTGGTGGGTCTTGAACAGCAGGGGACTCGAAACTGGGAAACAGCCCCAGGAGTCTCTCACCTGCTGTCCCTGGTCACGGCACCATCTGATAGAACTTTATTTTGGGAATGCGGGGAGAGACACCCCCAACCCCCTGGGGCGTGGCATCTCCACCCCGGGGCCGGCGATCTCTCCTGCTGACACGTGGCGTGGGGGAATATAAGTAGCCTAAGCTTAGGGCAGTGCCCTAAGGCCATTAGAGATGCACAGGTATTTCATTGGCACACGTTTGGCGCCAGGGGCAGGTAAATCTCTAGGGGCGGGGGAGGCAGGAGCTCCCTAATTCCAGCTGAGGCTTTTCTGGCTACAGTGTCCAGTCTGGGCCAGCAACCTTTCAGTTTTGTTTTTTCTCTTTTTCCTTTTAAATAAAAATTTTTTAAAAAAGAGATAATAAGAACAGTTATCAACAGCATTGACAGCTGCACACAAGGAACAGTAAGAGTCACCTTTACACTCAGAAATAAACACTACAACTCCTCCTTGTGGTTCCCAGTGTTCTAAACAGTCAAAAAAAACTTTTCTAGTAACATACTACACAAATGTTTGCTTCCTCCCTGAAACGCACACATATTACGCTGATGGCCCCCTACCTGTGGGACATCGGCTCACATAAATGCACACTTCTAGCAACACCCTCCAAAACGCCTTTCCCTTACCAGACCTACAAAAAAAACCACTTTCAAGGTCTTGCCTTTTGGAAAACTTACTTCACGAGGGCAACTTCATTAACATAGTATCGCCAAACACCCAATCCCGAGCCACTTACTTCTAAGCAACCCCGCCCACTTGCGCCCCGCGGTTCCATGCACCATGTTCCTGTGCACCACGCTGAGGGCCAACGCGCGCCACAGCACCAGAAACCTTTCTACGCCTCTGTTGGGACCTCTGGGCCCAGCCAGGGAGGCCCCTTGAGAAAAAAACCAAATCCCTAAGTGACTAGTAAGAGCTACCGCACAAAGCCAAAGGCTATGATATCTGTACCGATCATCCTATCCTATGGTACTGATCATCCTTTTCTTTCTTTCTCTTTCTTTCTTTCTTTCTTTCTTTTTTCCTTTTCATCGTGATACAAGGGCTTATTATGTATGATAGGATTTTCAGCGCAGTAAAAGAGAGAATATAAAATAAAACTAGCCTTTGTTCTAAGGACTCGCAGAGAAGTCCATCACCGCCAGGGCCTGGCTTTCTTTGCTGGAAACTTGGTGTGTGGGGCATACCTATAGTTTCCAACTGAGATGGTGCTTAAGGTGGTATTGCTGATGTGCAGGCAGCTGATTGGGACTCTTTTTGCACCACAGGTTGACCCTGCCTGCGGGTAAGTCCACGGACACCCTAGAGGAGGAGTGGGGATGAAAAGGGAGCAAGAGACACAAAGAGGGGAGACAAGTTGAGGAATTCCAATCAGGTCTCTCTTTATTCAAGGAATAAGTGTCAAATATATAGGGTACTCAGGAGGAGGGATTTGGGTGCTGAGACATCAGCAGGTAACTTAGCAACAATGGCAAGACGGAGGTTCATAGGTCAGTTCGAATTTCCCATGCTCAGGCTCAATAAGCATAATCCCTGAATAATGGGACCAGGCTAAACAAGTTATGCAAGATGCTGCTTAATTACCAAACTTAACTCCTAGAGGGAATTAAGGTGGTGTGGCCTGCAGACATAAGGTGGCAGCCAATTACAGGGCTCCCCACAACAAGTAAGTTGTCATATGGGAGGGGAAAGTGACCTCAAGTAAACATCCCCAGGTCCCGCCTCTCACTGCCCTAATATCATAGGCAAAATCCTTTCAATGTACCCTCAACTGGCCAAAAATGCAGTGATTCTCCTGCCTCAGCTTCCTAGGTGCTGGGATTACAGGCATGGCCACCATACCTGGCATCTCCTATTTTTAAATAGGACCCTGGGAACAAAAGGTCAGGAATATATTCTTTTTGTCCCTTCCCCTCAAGAATTTTTGCTTTTACTTTTTCGAACAAGACATTATCCCCCTCCTTTAAGCTTGAGTGGCTTCCGATTGCTTGGGTTAAACACAATGCTTTTCTACATCAGTACTGGGCCCCTGCATGCTGGGGCTCACTCCCCCAACTCCTTTGAGCCCTGCTACGTGCTCCATGCTCACACAGACTCCCTTCTGCCCCAAGTGGCTATGTCCAGCAGGGATTCTGTCCTCAATTTAGTTTCCTGTCAGCATTCAGACATCTTTCCAAATATTTCCATCTTCCTGAAACTTTCTTTAACCTTCTTCACACCGTGTGCCCGATCCGATTGTCTCCCTTACACTGCAGCCTAGGAACTGCCAAGTGTATTTTCCTAGATTCCCTGGTAAGTCCACTCTGAAAGGTAAATGAGACCATAACCCATGCAAGGACGATGGAGACACTGCCACAAAGTTTATTTGGCGCAGGGGCGGGTCGTTAGCAGACAGAGAGCAATCCCGAGGTAAGAAGACATGGGCTTACATGCCTGAAAACCACAGCGGAGGGAATGGGCACGCAGGCAAAAACAGCCCCTCGGGAAGGCATAAGGATACATTTAGAGGTGGAGTTGTGAGTCGCAGGAACACCATCAGTCCCGGCGGTTGCTGCAGTTCTCGGAAAAGTACACGTGTGTCTTTGTGGTTGGTGCTATCCTAGTAAAAATCTGCAGGGGTGGTTGGGTTGCACTCTTTAATTCCCTCCTCCCTTGGTCCTGGAGCTTACACTCACCTGAGCAAGCCCAAGTAGAGAAGAGCAGCAAAGAGCAGTGAGTGGTGACCCTTCTCCATGGATCCCTCCTGGTAAAGGACCTACGTCAGGATAGGAAGGCACCACACCTAATTACTCTTATTCTTGGTGAAGGAATTTGTACAATGACAGACATAGGGTCATCCTTACAGTGAATGCATGCATGCTTACTGTGTGCTATGTTAAAGAGAGTTGTCTCTCTCTGCAGCAAAAGGTACCTGTCCGGACCAAAAGGATTTGTGCTCCCTAAACTCAGGTTTCTTCTAACTGCAAAGCAATACACTGCATATTCAAAGCTATCTGGCTCTCTTTGCCTATCTTTGTGGGAACTGGGGTAAAAGAAACTAACCACAAGAATATTGATATCCTGTTCACTGCTCTCGTTAGGAGTTTAAACAATCATTCATCTCTGACTCAGGAATTTGGTGTCTTCTACCAGCATCTCCACAGCTGTTGCAGGCAAACTTGGAAAGTCAATGCCAAAAAAGAACATACTGCTTCCCTCACAACCCTCAGCCTTCAAAGAGGACCAATGTAGCCAGGCATGCTGGCACACATCTGTAATCCCAGCACGAGGGAGGCTGAGGCAGGAGGCTCACCCCAAGTTCAAGTTCAGACTGGGCTACATAGTGAGTTCAAGGTCAGTCTGAACTACGTGGTAAGATACTGTCTCAAAACACAAAGAGGACCAACAGCAAATTTAGGACTCAGAATGAAATCTTGGCTACTGTAGACCTAGAAGGAGAACACCAATGAAGAATTACATGGTACATGACTAGAACAGAAGGAGAAAGTAACTGTAATCTGGGAAGGGACAGTGCTTACAAGAAGATAGTTGAGGGGGCTGGGGATTTAGCTCAGCGGCATAAGCGCCTGCCTTGCAAGCAGGCAGTCATGAGTTCAATCCCCGGTACCGATAAAAAGGAAAAAGACAAAAAAAAAAAAAAGAAGAAGAAGAAGATAGTTGATTAGATCTCGGGCAAATCCAGCAAGCAAGTGTTCGTAATCTGTCAAAATCATTACGCCCACAGCACATGTGTAAAACACAGAATCTAGGGTAACTACAGTTCCAGAACACTGTATGTGGGGCCAATCAGAAAAGTGCCATTTTCAATTATTGGTTTACATCTAGAACAAAACCAAACAAGTCTTCCATAAGACAGTTTAAATATGGCACCAAACCAGGAGGGTTTTTGATAGGACAACTTTCCCAAATGCCTTATTTGCATGAGGAAAGTCCAGACACAAAAAACACTCCCTTATCCTCAAAGCCACTGTGAACCTGTTCACCAGCCCACCTCTCACTCTGCAGAGCAGCAGTTCTTTTTCACCTCCAGTAAGTGCCACCTTTTAAGTGTCTTGCCTTATACATTGTTCAGGACACCCAAGAACCTGCAAAGAACTTCCCTGGGTCCTAAAAGCCCATGGAAGGAATCCCAAAGCGTTAGTGGCAGGGAAGGAGGAACACAAATTCAGGAGTGCCTTCTCATCTGCTCTGTGATGATTACTTCATTCCTTCTTTACTCATCCCCTGTAAATATCTTGCGTCATCCTCAGAACGTGACATGGAAAAACCACCAACTAAAAAAAGTCACTGTCTCAACCAACCCACTTTCTTATCTTGGCTAACTCAGTAAGGTAAATGGTGCTCATTTTCAAATCTTAGTGTTTTCCCATCATTGCAGTCAGATTAGTTCTCCTGTCCTTATATTAACCTGTCTGGATGCCACATCTCAACCCCCACTCTCCACAAGGAAGGCAAATTTAGTCAAGAAAGTGTTCGTAACGTGTCAAAATCATTCCACCCACAGCACATGTGTAAAACACAGAATCTGAGGTAACTATAGTTCCTGAACCATGTATGTGGGACCAATCACAGTGTTTCCACCAGTGGCCAGGCCTTCACATCCCCTCACTGACCAGTAAGATGTTCACAGAAAAACTGACAAAGAAGGACAGAAATAAGAGAGCTGAAATACACTACCCTCCTACTCTCCCAAAGGAAGAGAACAATCACCGGTGGCAAACGGCACTTACAGCAAAGTAACACGAAGGGCCTGCTTCACACTCAGAACAAGCAGTGTGCCTTCCTCATCATGTCCACATCCTATAGTTCAAAACCTTCTCTAGTAACAGAGAGATACATAAGGTCCTTTTTTTTTCTTTTTATGGTACCAGGGATAGAACTCATGACCTTGCGTTTCCCAGGCAGGTACTTATGCCGCTGAGCTAAATCCCTGATCCATACATGGGGTTCTTAATATTACAGTTCTAGCTGTGAGCTCTCAGCCTCTGATAGGTCTACTGTAGTCATACACTGTGCAGTGACTGAGAGTTTGAGTCATTTTGTTTTGTTTTGTTTTTGTTTAGCGGAAGAAAGAATACCAGATCATTTGCCTCTTTCACAGTTTATATCTGGTAAAATGTTGGTCAACTGACAAAATTCAAACAACTTGTTTTCCCTTGTAAACCTTCCAAACTTTAAAGCAACTTAGTTGATTAACATAAAACTTCTCAGCAGCCAGTCACTTGCTTTGTTTTATGCAGGCTTTTGTCTCCTAAAGCTGGGGAGCTGTGATTATTCTGCAGACCTCACAAAACACTGCTTCTGTCTGTGGGGAGCAGCTGAAGCTGAAGATCAATCACATGTGCAGGGCAAAAGTAAGCCCAGCCCCAAGGACATGGGATGCCTAAGGTGAGCCAGACAAATACACTGTTCCAGCCCCTAGACCACAAGGCACCTGAAGCAAGCTAGGTAAATGACTTGTTAGGCAATGGGGTTTCACTTGACATCAACCTGCTGTGTGTACAAACATGCTGCAATCCCTGAGCGGCTCTTTTCTCTAACTAAGAGAGAACTCCATTCCACCTCAGCTTTCTGCACTTTTGCTTTAATTTCTTCAAGGTCTTCTTCCCCCCAGGAGTTTCTCCAGAGCTGCACTGGACACTGCTCAGTGCTAAGGTCAGCTGCAGGTCCCCGCAGATGGCCTCTTACCTGAGTAAAGAAATCAGTCAAGTTGAAGAGACCAGGAACCCTCTGCACTGAGAGACAGAGCAGGGCATAGTGGTACACACCTGTAATCCCAGCACTTGGGACACAGGCAGGAAGTTATGGCCCATCCTCAAGTGCTATGCAAGACCACCAACTGAAAAAATTATGTACTTCATAGCAAACAAACACTAGATTGTCTCAAAAAAAAAAATCTAGAGTTCTGCTTCCAAGAAGTGCCAGTTACCATCTATGAGACCAAGTCCTACAGATAACAACTGTAGTTTCTGAATAAAATGTACAGAGTGATGTAAAACCACTGAAGAGCAATAAAAACAACAACAACCCAAAGACTGCTATGCAGGACTTGGAAGAAAAGAATAGCTCTGATTAAGCTTTCAATTTTTGTGGCTTGTGACTTATGACTATGGCCAAAACTAAGATAGAAAACACTAAAAGCCATAATTCAGGGAAAATACAGTAGCTGAAAAGTAATGGAGGAAAACCCCAGATGGAAGACAGCCACAGATAAACATCAATCCACACAGAAACTCCGCCCAAATATTTGGTCAAAACTTTCTACATGCACGGGCTGACTCCAAGCAGCAAGGTGATACCTAAAGATACAAGTTTCTTAGCTACTGCCCACTGCAAGGGAGTTTACAATGTGAATTCGGCCATATAGGTACACTCACCAGATGTATATAACACCACCCAGAATACCTCCATCATGTCATGTATAATGCACACGATGTATACCCAAAATACCCAGTTTATAAGTACACAGTATGACAAGCCTCTACTTTTTCTCCATTGAAGTTAATGCTTTACTATTGACCCCAACCACACTGCACCCTCAAAACTCAAGAGAAAACCATAACCTCAAGTTAGTGAGTTTACTACCTTAAGTACAACACTTTCACTTTAATACAACAGAAAACTCACAGTCACCTGTCCTGCACAAACACAAACACCACTAGCTCTACTCTCTGAGCATACAACAAACCTGAGCCCTTTCCTAGAAAGGTTAAGCTAGGGGAAAGCACGAACTCAGTCCCCTACTACCACAAATTATGCAGTTGAGTTTCCCACATTTGGGCAAAATGTAGGGATCAGCATATACAGAGTGCAATGGATAAGCCTACCTCCGGGAAAACAAGCCTCATGATCACCGTATCTACCCTGCCAGGTAAGTGTAAGTTGACAACCTCGCGCCACACCTCATGGCACACTCCTCACCTACTCAGGGTCACTACCCTCACGCCTCCTCCACGTCTTTCCCCGCACACCACCCTCTGCTTCCCACCACGACCTCCGCACTCCTTGCATCCAGGACACACCCGGGAAACGCGGCTGCCGGAACCAGGAACCAGGTGCTGCAACCGGCAGCCACCGCGTGACATCTACACGTCCCTGCTTCCAGAGGTGACAGCACCGAAGCGGCGAGCCTTCCGCCCACACCGCCCTCGTGGAGGTTCTGGCCCACACCGCCCTCGTGGAGGTTCTGGTTTACCCTGCCGAGCGCTGCTGGGACAGGAGGGGATGGCACCGGGGTGACGCGGCAGGGGGGGGGGTGCAGCAGAATGGGACGTGCCAGGGCTAAACTTTAGCGTGCCCAGCAGCCCAGATCCTCCACCCCATCCAGACCCTCGCCCCGAACTGCAACAGCTCAGGGCAGCCCGCTTCGCAGGGATTCACACTGGTAGCTTGTGGCGCCAGGAAAGCAGCCTCTGCTGTCAGCTGCTAACAATCCGAGAATGTGTGTGTGTGTGTGTGTGTGTGTGTGTGTGTGTGTGTGTGTGTGTTGTTGCGTAAGTTTGCGAGCCAGTACGCTGCAGTGGCTGTGTTGTGATGGGGTCTGATTACACACACAGGTCAAACTGGCCAGGAACTCACTATATAACCTATGTTGGCCTTGCTCATGGCGACCCTCTTGCTTCAACTCTCAAATGCTGGCATTAAGGCCTGTGTAAACCCACCTGGCTTTTTAAAAAAAAATTTGTAATTTTTAATTTTTATTACTATGTGTTTGCAAGAACTTAATGATTACATTCATTGGGGGGCATTAATACACATACACAACATACCTCAATTCTTTTTTTCTATTTCCCTTCACTTCCTCTTAAAATGTTTTTTGCCAGCAACTGACCAGGCCCATGGGTAAATCCACGGAGACCCTAGAGGGTGAGTGGGGATGAAAAGGGAGCAAGAGACACAAAGAGTGGAGACAAGTTGAGGAATTCCAATCAAGTCTCTCCTTATTCAAGGAATGAGTATCAAATATATAGGGCATTGGGGAGGAGGGATTTGGGTGCTGAGACATCAGCAGTAACCTAGCAACAGTGGCAAGATGGAGGTTCGTAGGTCCTTCAAATTTCCTGAATAATGGGACAGGCTAAACAAGTTCTGCAAGATGCTGCTTAATTACCAAACTTAACTCCTAGAGGGCATTAAGGTGGTACAGCCTGCAGATGTTAAGGTGGCAGCCAACTACAGGGCTCCCCACAGGTCCCCCTTTACTTTAAAATATAAGAGGCATATAAGAGGCTGCATCCTTGAGGAGACTGTGCCTGTCTTGGGTCAGGGCCCTTCCACAGGGGGGCCAACCTAGCCTTACCTGTCATTGGAAGGCAGGGCAGCGAGAGGCCCAGTTCCTGTCTTAGGTGGAGGTTGGCATCCCGTGTCAGGCCCAGTTGCCTGTCTCTGGCCATCCAGTCTATCACACCAAGGCAAGAGAAATGGAGCTTGCAGCATGCTTTCACAAAGCATTATGATAATACAGTTTTGCAGGCTCCGCGTAATTTTCTCTATCAGCCATTCTAACCTGTAGTAATGGACCTGTATAGGTTGCATTTTGATGGCATCCACCTGTTGTTTGACAAAAGCCATCAACTTAGTCATCATAATCCCAAGAGACTGGGATCCAGGCTGTTGGTTCCATCATGTGAAAAACAAAAGCTGTGAAAAAATTCTCTCAGGGGTCATTTTTCGTCCCTGGAGTCATCTGTAACACTATCCTCTATTTGTTGTATTTGATGTATTTATTTAACCAATTGTTCTGGCAGCCATCTCGCAGATTTCATCTCTTTAGAGTAAATGCATACTGATCCTCATTCCCAGATAAGGACTGGACCTGGACCATGCCATGAGTTTACTCAGGGGGTCTCTCCATAGTACAGAAGCAAAGTGCTTTTGTGTTTCAATATGCCAAAAATGCATGGCTGCTGACTGTCCAGCAGCATCCAAATTTAAAAAATTAAGGATGAATAAGGCATGAAATAGAATATTTTTAGGTGTCCCCTTTGTGGAGTACCATTTCTTTTTATTTTATCAACAGTGAGTTTTAGGGAGAGATGTGCCCTTTCAACTATGCCTTGACCTTGAGGGTTATAAGATATGCCTTTTATATGATGAATATTAAGATATTGACAGAAATGAGCAAAGGCAGAACTAGCATAGCCTGGACCATTATCAGTCTTTAATTATTGTGGGCATCCCAAAACTGATAAGGTAGTTAACATATGGCTAATAACATGTTTGGTAGCTCCACCAGTCTGGGGAGAGGCATAAATGAAACCACTAAAGGTATCTATAGTTACATGAACATATTTAAGATTGCGAAACTCAGGAATGTGGGTGACATCCATTTGCCACCATGCACTGGGGATAAGTCCTCTAGGATTAACCCCAAAGTGTGGAACTGGGAGGTGCATGGCACAAGAAGGGCAATTTTTTACTATCTGTCTGGCTTGCTCTCTAGTGAATTATAGAAAAATAAATGGTAAGAAATCACCAGTTGATAAGTTACATATTGTCATCTTAGAAATAGTTCTTCAGGCTACAAAATTAAAGTATGTAAAGTGACATTCAAATAGTGACAGTGCCAACAGTTCTGCTGAATGAGCCAACAAAAACTTAGTAATATGGTTATCAGTCTTACTTGTTTTTTATCTCAAAGAGGGCAAGACCAAACATATCAAAACAAAACAAAACAGTTCAAAAAAAAAAAAACAATTTAAAGAAATACAGATTCCAAAGCAAGTCCACTGGAGATCTTCACTGTTCATCTAATTGTCTCTAAGTTTCCTCTAAACAGTTGTCCCCATCTTTACCCACATTAAATACACACTGCATATTTTAGAACTAATCAAATCATTACAGGCTCCTCAGGTCTTTAAGATCTGACATTGGGGAAGATAATAACTACCATAGTGTCTCTCATTTTCCTCTCAGCAGCTATCCTCATCCTTAATATGCTGAAATTAAACTTAAGAGACTAGACCAATATCACTCCAATCAGTTAAATGAGTCAAAGTACTTGACATTGGAATCTCTATCTCTGGAGTCTTTTTTGTAGTTCTTTGCAAAATGACCAGTTTATCTCCACAGGTAAAACAGTTTTGTTTATTTATTTATTTATTTATTTATTTATTTATTTATTTATTTATTTTGAGATAAGAACTGTTTAACTATAAACCCTTGCAAGGTGGCAGCCACAGCAAGGCCTTGCTGACAAGCAGTTTCAATGTCAATGGTACCAGGGATCAAACTCACAGCCTTTTATTTCTCAGGCAGGCACCTGTGCCACTGAGTTAAATCTCCAACCCTGGGGACTGAACTCACAACATTGTGCTTGGCAGGCAGATGCTTATGTCACTGAGCTAAATCCCCAGCCCTTGCTTAATGCTCGAGAGAGAGGAACTCATATCACTCTTAAATTGCTTTTGGGCCTCTCTGTTGGCATAGGCATCCTCCCCTATTAACATATCAAGGTCCCACCCACTGCTGGCTTGCATATTGTGCCTGGCAGTCTCTTTGCAATTTTTTATATATTCCAATTTCCACAAAAGATAACCCCCATCTGATGAAGTCACTCGGGCCAATCCTTGCCAATCTGTAGGTGTGAGCCAGCCGTCAGCCAGAGAATTTAAAACAGTCAGAGTATACGCAGCTGTGTCTTTTTACTGTGTAACCACAGTTTTTAATTCTCTATTCAGTTTGAAAGTGAAACCAGAGTAGTCACAAATAACTCCACCCTCTGTGTCCCTCATTTCCATCACAGGGAAAGCCTCCATATCATCTAGCTTTAATATTGGATCAGGCCAGAGGGGTAAATTTAGAAATCATGCCTCTCAGTGGGGCTCGATGAGCAGGAGAAATCCTGGAGGAAACTCTGGGGTTAGTTTCACTTTTCATTTTAAATTTTGTGAATATTTAGCCTTTCTAACTGAGCTATCAAACCTGACATTCTTTTCTCAGTTTAACCTGTTGTTTTAAAAGTTCAATTTGGTTTCTTAATTCCTTCCTAGTATCGAAAGTTAAACACGCTGAAGCCGAAACTATACGGCCCTTACAGTATGGGGGAGGGGCGTGCGGCTACCAGATCGCTTTGCTCCCGAGTTAAAGTTTAGCCCTAATGGACAATTGCTTAATTAATTTTTTTTCTTTATCCTTCGGTCTTTAAAGCCTTTCTTAAACTTTTAACAAATATCTCACGTTGGCTCATTTCTCGTCCTAATGGACACAATTGCTAAATTTGTTTTTCCTTACCCTTTGTGTCTTTAAAGCTTTTCTAAACTTTGGCTAATTTCTTGTCCCATAATCACTGTTCACTTACCGAGGTTCAGCAGCATGGCAGGCTCCCACGTCGGTCTCTATTTTCTTTTTCCTTTTTCTACTTTGGGCCCACGAACAATGTCCCTCACTAATTCCCCTGTTCTCGGGGCCCACGTTGGGCGCCACTTGACCAGGCCCGTGGGTAAATCCACAGAGACCCTAGAGGAGAGTGGGGATGAAAAGGGAGCAAGAGACACAAAGAGTGGAGACAAGTTGAGGAATTCCAATCAAGTCTCCTTATTCAAGGAATGAGTATCAAATATATGGGGCATTGGGGACGAGGGATTTGGGTGCTGAGACATCAGCAGGTAACTTAGCAACAGTGGCAAGATGGAGGTTCATAGGTCAGTTCGAATTTCCTGAATAATTGGACAGGCTAAACAAGTTCTGCAAGATGCTGCTTAATTACCAAACTTAACTCCTAGAGGGCATTAAGGTGGTGCAGCCTGCAGATGTTAAGGTGGCAGCCAATTACAGGGCTCCCCACAAGCAACACATTCATTTATAAGCCCTTATCAAGTTAATTACTATAAATTAGGATTAACAAACAGACCAAAAAAGTATCAAAACTATAAAGATAACTACACTAAGTCAAGGTATGCTTTTAGATCCATTGTCCATGCTGAATTACAGTGACCCCTCTCCTCTTTTCTCTCTCACTATCGCTCTGTCTCTGCTATTATTTTTTATTTGTTCTTTCTTTCTTTTTAGAAATAGAGACATTTCACTTTCTGCCTTACTGACTAGGTACTCTGTGCAAAATAATTCCATTTCTAGCAACTATACTACCAAAGGCTTTGGTCATATTTCCCTTTTGTTCTCCCTAATTGTTTTGAAAAACCTGTGTTTTGTTTGCTATGTGTGGAGAATAATTTTGTTTTTTACAATAGTTAAAAAAAGTCACTTTAGTTTTTGTGTATATGTGTGACTTTTTTTTTTTTTTTTGAGACAGGGTTTCATAATGCAGTGCAGACTGACCTTGAACTCAGTTATGTAGCTCAGGGTGGCCTCGAACTTGCAGCAATTCTCCTGCCTAAGCTTCCCAAATGCTAGATTGACAGCAGTGTACCACTATCCTCAGCTACAAAATTCACTTTAGATGATTTGCAAAGGACAGAAAATGAAATTTAAAAAGTAGACAGACCTGAGTCTCAACTTCCAGGGATGCTGGAAGAGACTGGTAAATTCAAGACTAGCCTGAAACAGTAAACAAAATCCTCTTGAAATAAAATACATTAAGGAGCAGGTCATGGCGGTCCATGCCTGTATCCTAGCACTCTGAGAGGTTGAAGCAGGGTGATCCAAAATTTAAGTCCAACTTGAGCAATCTGATGAAACCCTGGTTAAAATTTAAAGGGATGAGCCGAGTGTGGTGGCACACTCCTGTAATCTCAATACTTGGGAGGCTGAGGCCCGAGAATCTTTGCGAGTTCAAGACAAGCCTGAGCTACAAAGTGAGCCCAAGGCCAGCCTGAACTGCATAGCAAGATCATGTCTCAAAAATAAATAAATAAATAAATATGTAAAGAGCTGGGGGAGTAGGGCTGGGAACACCTATAGTTGTTGTTAAGTTTAAAAATTAAAACCAGCCACAATCCAACTATAAAATTGTTATTACACTTTGACAGTATATGCGGTAAAATCAGGTTCCTTACACCTAAGTATTTTTTTAAAGAAGTATATTTCCTATGCTGTTTATAACTTTCATTTGTTGTGCCACATGATGGGACACAGATAATTTCACCAATATTGCACTCTGCTCCTTCTAATTTTTTTTTGTTCCTTCTAATTAGTGATCCATATATTAATACAAGCAACATATTTTTAGCTACATATTTGTAGTTAGTGATGGTTTGGTAATTTTCTACTTGTATTTTTTGTTTATTTTGCAGTTTAGAGACCTTCCTGCTTCATAGTCCTCTAAGTAGCTGGGATTACAAAAGTATACCATCGCTTGCCTGGTAAGTGTAAGGTCATGAGTGCTACCCCCAGTACAAAAAAAAAGTGTGCCATCACATTCCACACTAGTCATCTCAGAGAAGAGGTGCCTAAATTACTTGAGAGAATAGCGGTAATATAATTATTTTGACATAATTATTTTAATTTTTTTTGAGACAAGTTTTTGCTATGTAGTCCACATTAGCCTCAAACTCATGATAGTCCTGCCTTAGCCTCTTGAGTACTAGGATTACAGGCACATACTACACCTCTAGTTTTTACAATTCTTTAAAAACTATTTTCCCCTGATTTTTTTCCTTTTCTCAGTCTTTCAAATTCAAGATCTTTGATGTCAGAGTTTACAGTCAGAAGAATTTAAACCAAGCCCAGTGGCCCATGTCTCTGATTCCAGCTACTTGAGAGGTTGAAACAAGAGAATGAAACATTTGAGGCTAGCCTGAGCAATGTAGTGAGACAGTCTCAAAAATTAAAAACAAAAACTGGGCGTCGTGGTGCACTCCTGTAATCCCAGCACTGAGAAGGCTGAGGCAAGAGGATTGTTGCAAGCGAGGCCAGCCTGAACCACACAGTGAGACCCCAATCTCAAAAAGACAAAAAATTACAAATCTAAAGAAAGGGCTGGAGCTATATTTCAGTGGAGATGTAGTCCAATTTGTTAAAATGAGAGAGAAAGGGGGACTATACGCACAAGACTCTGAGCTCCATCCCTAGAATAGGAGAGAAAGGAGAGGAGGCGAGAGAAAGGAAGACCCATGCTGAATATAAAAATAGGCAACATGAAATGGAACAAAGACTGTGATCCAAACTCCTAGAAAGTTAAAGGTTAGCAGACTGAAGGAGCTATACCATGCTGGGTGTGGTAACACAAACCTCTAATCCCAACACTCAGGGATGCTGAGGCAGGAGGGTGACACAAATTCAAGGTCAACCCCAGCTTTATAGTAAGTTCAGGGCCAGCCTGAAACTAAACAGACATTCTTCATTTAATGATTGAGTTATGTTTCTGCAAAAAGGCCATCAAATGAATCGACTGCTAAATGAGGAATTATATACATACAGTATGTACATTACAGTATTCAGAACAAAACGCTCAAAGCAAACTCCAACTTGATGACTTTGCTTTTATTTGCATAACTCTTACACAAAGTACAGCAATATGCAACAACCTAAAACTACAGTACTCTGCAGTACAATCAGCAAAAATTATGGTAGTTTAACAAAGTATACCGTACTCAAAAAAAAAAAAAAAAAAGACATTGAGGCTTTATAAACAAGATGCATAGAACTGTACAAAAGGAAAGACAGATAGTAAGACCCAGCAGTGTGCCTTGCTAAGTTCAAACACTAATTCCCCAGATAGGTCATTAAAAGAGGAACATCTCATTGTGAGACCTCGGGTTTGAAGGGGGGCTATTCATGTACAGATGCTGAGTTACATCCTGAGGAGCATAAAGAAAAAAGAAAAGAAAGCAAAGGAACATAATTTTAGTGTCAATACAGGAGTCTGGACTGCTTTCCACCTAAACATTATGACACATGACTACAGTACCTATACAGAAAAACCTTAACTGTAACTATATGCATATAGTGTCAAAAATGTTCATACCTTTTGATTCAGCAGTATTTTACTTTACCTAAAGGAATTTTTAAATTTTACCTAAACAAATGGAATTCCCTTTGTGCTCATCATAGACAAATGGCAAAAAAAAAAAAAAAACCCACTCAAAACACAAAATATCAAAACAATAGAGAAACTGAATATTAAAAACAAATTTAACCATCATATAATAATGATTACTAACATGAAAACATGTGGAAGGGTCTAGAAATGCACATCAGTGTCACGGCACTTTGTCAAGATTCTGTGAGGGCCTGGGTTCATTCTCCAGTGTCACAAAATGGGTAGGGGGACTACTGAAAGGTATTGCACAGAAATGGTATTTTCAGTAATATCACTGAACTGTTTTTGCTGCATTATAAAAAGACCAAATCTAAAATGTAAAAAGTTTTGAACATAGGATTTAGCATCACATAAGTGCAAAGTGTGATCTTTACTATATTTTAGCTTTCTGGCCTGGGGATTTAGCTCAGCGGCATAAGCGCCTGCCTTGCAAGCACGCAGTCGTGAGTTGGATCCCCGATACCGATTTACCTGTCTGTACTAGAATTTAGGAATAATAATTGTTAGTAAAAACTACAGCAAATACACTGACAAATATAATATATAAAACCAACACACAAAAAAAGTGACCTGAGGCAAGGTTGAGAAACAGAGCTCTTTGGTACAGGGTGCTACCTGGAGCACTCCCTCCCAGACACCCAGGAAGGGCAGCACGCCCTTACCCACCCATGTCTCTCAGATCTCTGCTGTGCCTGCCACCTCAAGCATTCTATTCCAAAGCACATCGTGCCCCTCAGTTTGTGAATCTCACCTCCATCTCTGAATTTCCATCTCTTAGTCTCACCAGCCTCACGAAAAGATTGGCTCTCAGAAATATAATGAGGGTACCATGTGTACGCCAGGATTTTTTTTTTCATTTTCTTTTTTAATTGGCCATCCTGGGCAAAGTTTTCAGAGCCTTATGCACACTAGGCAAGCACTCTTGCACTAAGCCAGAACTCTATGACTGAGCTACTTTCCCAATCCAATTCTGAGTACTTTTTAAGTCCTGAGTTTTGTTAACAAAAATTCATAAAGCAAGCCTGGAGTGGTGACACACACTTGTCATGCTGAGACTCTGGGAGGCTGAGGCAAGACTATCAATATTCAATCCTGCCCGGCCAACTTACTGAAAAGGGGCAGAGATGTAGGTCAGGGTGAAGGCCCTGGATCCGTAACAAATACAAATGGAAGAGAGAGAAAGAAAAGGTCATACATGTAAAGATATGACAGGTTGGAAACCCCAAAATGTTGACAGAACTGAGTAATCTCTGAATGTCAATGTCCTCTCCTAGGAGAGCATGAGTAACTCCAGGGCCTCTCTCTGGACAACTTGAGTGGCAGGGCACCAGCTCTATTCACTGCTGTCACACCCAGCACCACAGCCCTGCATCTCTCAGGCACATCACTGTGCAACAAAGAGTCACAACACAGCAACTCTGTAAACATCTGTGGGACACTCTCATCCACACTGCCCCCGCTCACCCTGGAGATAAAGTATCTATCAGCTCATCACCTCACTACCTTCCCAAATGAGCTTCACACTTTCACAGTTACCATGGTGTTCACAAATTCCAGGCTGGCCAGAGCTCTGAGGTATCCACAGCTAAGAAGAATACATTCCCCTGGAAGTAGTCCACTATTCTTTCACAGCAGTGCATATTTCAACAAATCCAAGAGTTGCCCTATAAACACAGCAGAATTTTGTGAAAATTTTCCATTATTCTGGAAGTCAACTTCTAAAATGCCTTAATAGGTTTATGTAACTTAGTACATTTTGGTTTAATTTTTTGGGGTTTAACTTTTGTAACCGTCAAAGCTGATTACAAAGGACAAGAATTATCTGAATAAACACAAAAATCTGTTACAGTTTGGGTAAGGGTTATAGTTCCAGGACCGTTAATTAAACAGTGCTGCCTGAGAAGCTAGGAACTAGAGACTGGCAGAATTCCTTCTGAAGTATCTCTTACAATGATCAGGTGGCCCAAGTCGTTTAACTGCTCTCATTTGCCAGCAGTAGATTATGTGGTATTTTATTGCTCAGGTAGCAACTGGTTTAAGGCTAGTAATATCAAATTTTAAAAGTTAGTTGTTTAAAAATCTTCCAGTTAGTTAGTTTAAAAGTTAGTTGTTTAAAAATCTTCCAGTAAGTGAAATGTAACCTAGTTTTTGCACCATATACACCAGCTTGAATTCTGCAGAGTATAATGGAACAGAGTCTCTTTTAAATATTTGGTTTAGTATGTCTAAAGGATACAGTAATAATTTATGCTCAAGTGGTACCACTTTAGTATATAAAATGAACGAGTTCATTTTGAGGTTAAATAGAATGCATTTCAGGATTATAGAGACCTGGTTTGTTGGTTTGTTTGTTTGCTTTGTTCTGTATTTTTACGGAGATTAAACTCACCACCTCACACTTTCTGGACTGGCACTTATGCCACTGAGCTAAATTCACAGCCTGTAGTCATTTTTTTTTTCCAGTGCACGGGAACATTTAGCTTTATTTCCAATATTCATTGAGCACTTCTGTGCAGTTTTCTGAAGGTTATCAACTGCAGTGATAACTTCCCTATGTCAAAAAAAAAAAAAAAAAAAAAAAAACACATGACAGCTTGCATGGATTTACTATGTTTCATAGTTAGTTAACCTTCTGTCCTTTGCAGTGCTCCCGATGTGCAGGGTGCAAGGAAGGCATTGCTGTATGAGTCCTTTCCAGCATAGCCACTTTACTGTTTTACTGTATTGGTTGTAAAGATACAATCTCCCCCCACCCCCCGCACTGGGGATTGAACTGACAACCACATATGCTTGGAAAGCAGGCTTATAGCTGCTGAGCTAAATCCCAACCCTAAAGATACAATCTTTAAAAAAAAAAAAAAAATGTCCCCTGCATCTGCAACTGTACCACCAACCCTTTCTTACCAGAGGAATAGACTCCACTGTCTGTCTCAGTATCTTCTCTCTATATGAAAAAGATTTTTTCAATTTCTTTTCAATTCTACTACTGATAACTGTCCCTACCACTTTTATCTAATGGCTACTTAACACCAATTAGGCTAAGCCAAAGGGCAACTGTGGCTAATAAAGTTGAAGTAATGTGCCAACACTACTGCAGGCCAGGTGTCGTCCAGGTGTGTTTCCATGAAGCAGTACACCACACCACTTTACCAAGAAGCAGTCTCTCTCCCTACTTTTTCAATAGTTTAAGTCAGACACCTAACATCATTTTCACTAACCAATATAAAAACATGCTGAAACAAACCCAAGTGTGGTGCAAAAGACTGATAAGATTATTTTTTACAAAACCACCTCTACCACAAGTCACAACATCTTATCAGATACTCAAAAGTTACTTACTACACCTACCAACATTGAAGACAATACACATACTGCCACACAACGCCTAACTTTTAAGAAAAAAAAAAAAAAAACTGTAACCACAAACAACTATCAAGTGAAAAGCAGACCTACAGTCACTAACCAGGAAACTACAAGACACTTGCTGCCACTAACCTAACGCTCTCAAGTACCTAAGACTAGGCAAATAACCACAAAGCATCTGTCACTAAACAAATAACCAGGGGAAAGCCCTAATTCAAGTCCCCCAGGGTCACAAATTATGCAGTCCAGGGTCAGCACATCAGGGTACAATGGATGAGCCTCACCCTGGGAAAGCTACCTTCGTCATCATGGTATCTCCCCCCAGGTAAGTATGACTCTAGCCCCCACCCGCCCCACTACCCCAACTCACACGCCTCACTCTTATATTCCGGTCGCTCCTCACTCCGCTACAACTCACCTGTGCCCACACACTCACAGCCAAAACACAGCAAGAGGGGCCGCGGCTCACCACCTACTGGCATACTTCACCTGCTACACACCCTGATCCTTGCCGGGGAACGCGCTTCCACAAGTTCATCTGCATAACACCACCTCCGTACCGCCCGCGTGCCAGCCCCCCTCCGCCCCAGCCCAGCCCACGGTAGGCTTCCCACCTGGGCTCCCCCTGCTGGCGCTCACCCCAGCCGCACCTCCCTGGCTGTTTTCCTCCCCCACATCCGTCCGGCTTCCAGCCCTGGGCGTGTGTGCCCCCGAGACCTTCTTTCCAGAGACAAGATACAGCCCCCCTCAGCAGAAATGGCAGTGAGGAGTTTTCGGTGGCCAGGAGACCTCCTCTCGCCCTCCCGCCCCGCCAACCTTCCGCGGCCGCCGGCACCGTCCCGGACTGTTGCGAGGAGGAAGGCGGTCGGGTTGTGCAAGCTGGGCACCTGCCAAAGAGCGGGACCCACGGAGGCACGCGCGGGGAGAGGAGCTGCTTTCCATGTTCAGGATCCCACGCGTGTAAGCGAGACAGTTCCGGCCCCGAGATCCGCTCTGCAATTCACTGTTCACAGCGCACGCAGACAAGCTTGTAGCTTTTGAACCTATTCCTCTGTTTGTGACCTTGCAGGAGTTCTGAAAAGGAGGCTTAAGACCTAAAGGAGCAAAGCAACAGCTTACACATCAGGTGTAACCTGAGAGTCAGGCAACCCAGGTAAGAATCCTAAAGCAAAGCAAGAAAAACAGTTCATACCTATTGAGTCCTTACTGTGCAGCTGGATTTTACAGTTCGTCCTCACTACTGAGAAGAATCATCCCCATTGCATAGGTAAACCTGAGGCTTGGCCAAATCTTGATTAAGGCAGGGCACAGTGGCGAAGGCCTATACCAGCACTCCGGATGCTCACAGTTGGAGCCTGGGTTACATAGTAAGTTCAAGGCCAGCCTAAATTATATAGCAAGACCCTGGCTGGCAGGAGGGGAGACCAGAAGTCTTCAAAAGGAAAACTCAGACACCCAAATGGTGAACTATTCATCTACAGGTTTAGGTTCCATTAAGTGTGACTAGCATTGTAGAACTACACCAGAAGAGGGTATAGAGTGTGAGTGTGGCCCACTGTGGTAGAGTTCTTGCCTTGTTTGTAAGCACAAGGCTCGGGATTCAGCGCCTCCCACCCAGAAGCCAGGACATAAAGCTTAATGGGAAATTCAGCAAAGTCTATCTGACCATTTTGTTTTTGGCCTCTTTCCAGCTTTCCTTTCTTCCTGTTATGAGATAAGACACTTTCTTGAATGGGGCTTTTTGAAATACAATCAAAGCAACTGGCGGATTTCTTTATAGCTAGATGATTTTTATGGATTCTGATGAGTTTCTAAGGGTTCTGATTTCTCTGGTAAGTCTATTTTCTATGATTTGCTTCAGGGTTATTGAGGAAATGAAAGGAAGTCAGAATGTGAGACACAAACTTGGCCTTTGCTGTAGCTTCTGAGGCTTTCACTTTGGGGTATCATTTTCAGAGCTCCAACAGGAGCAAAAGAATCCTACTCAAGGGGCTGCTGAGCCTGGCAAGTGCTAGATTGTGAGTTTGATCTCCAGTACCTAAAAAAGAAAGAAAGAAAGAAAGAAAGAAAGAAAGAAACCTACTCAACAAGATGACAGGGCTGGGACAATAGCTCATTATTACAGTGCTTGCTGAGCTATGTGAGATTCTGGGTTCTTCTATTCCTAGCCCCACAAAAAAGCAAAACCAAAACAAGCTGACAATATCAAATGCTGCCAAACCTTTGAGAGGTGAAAGAATCTAAAACTGTTCTTGGTAAGAATGTAAAAAGGCAACACCACTGTAGAAAACAGTTTCACAGTTTGAAAAAGATAAGCATATGCTTACCGTGTGGCTTGAACATTCCAATCCTATGTATTTATCCAAGAGAAGCCACAACATTTACTTAATGCAGCATTATTCACTGTAGCCCAAAAGTAGAATAACCCAGGAGTCCACATAGAGAAGGATAAATAACATATGATATTCCCATTCAGCAATATTATTCAGCAATAAAACAGAACTAGCAATAAATGTAACAATATTCATGAGCCTCAAAAACATGCTACATGAAAGAAACTAGTCAAGCAGAGTGGCACACACTTGTAATCCCAGCACTCAGGAGGCCGAGGGAAGAGGATCACTGCCAAGATTGAGGCCGTCTGGCCTCCACAGTGACTTCAAGAGCAGCCTGAACTGCATAGTTAGACATTGTCTCAAAAAAAAAAAAAAAAATCTAAAACTGAGACAGTCACAGTGGCACACATCTGTAATACCAGCAAGCACTCTAGAGGCTGAAGCAGGAGGTTTTCTGGAAGTTTGAGGCCAATTTGGGCTATACAGGGAGTTCAAGGGCAGCCTGAACTACACAAGATCCTGTTTCAAAAAGCAACACAAATAAACAAATGCCAAAATGTAAAGTGCTCTGACATCTGAAACTTAACAGCTGACATAACACATAGCATTTCCGATTTTAGGCTTTCAGATTAGAAATCTTCAACCACGAAAGTCAATGCAAGTATTTAAAACAAAAAAAAAAACCCTTAAAAATCTAAAAATACTTCCTTTTCTACTCACAATCATTTTAGATGAGGAGCCATGCATTGTGGTGAATTCCTACAATCCCAGCCCTCGAGAAGCTGAGCTAGAATTGCTACGAGTTGGAGGCCAGTCGGAACTACATAGCAAGACCATGTCTCAAAAAAGAAAAGAAAAATCAGATGAGGAATAGTCAACCTGTACTATGAAATATGGAATCTGCCTCAAAACAACAATGATTTAGGGAATAAAGGGAAACAAGTTCAGATTTAAATTGTATAGCTGCTCTGTGATGACTATGACCATATATATGGGCCGAGGCATAAGCACTCGCCTAGCAAGTGTAAGGTAGAGAATTTAATCCCTGGTACCTAAAAATGTACCAATAAAATCTGATTAAAAAATAAACTGATAAAAAAATAAACTGATCATTAAAGTTAGTATGGTTAAATGAATATACGTAAAATTATTCTATTGTAGTTTACATTAGAAGCTTTAGTTTTTCTCTCTCTCCTTTGTTGCTTCCTCTCTTTCTTTGAATACAGGTCCTTGACACTGAGTTACATTCCCCTAGCCCTTTTTAAAAATTTTTCATTTGAGACAGGGTCTCCCTAAATTGCTAATTTGCCCAGCCAGGGTTCAAAGTTGGGATCATTCTCTTTCTCACAGACTCTTGAGATTACAGATGTGTGTTACCAGGTCTGGCTAAGAAACTTTTCATAATGTAACTTTGAGAAGAAAAATTCAAAAGGAAAACCACTTCTGTTCTCCTGATTCTAGGTGCCTTTATAGGTAGATACCCTAACCTCCCTGGGTGTGAACACGAGTCAATAGAGAAGAGGAATAAAGGACCGTCACTTGGGTTCTATTTTTCAATAGATTAACCAAAGAAAGCATTGAAGAGAAAAACAGATCAGATTTAAAGATCATCCTTTTCTGCTTTCTTTATTCTTAGACCCTCCATCTAATCCACTAGCAAACTGTCTTGTTATTCCCTAAAAATTGTATTTAGACTCTGCAAAACTGAGACAAGCAGGAAGACAGGTTCAAGCCCAGCCTGAGTAACAGTGACTCAGCAAGAACTTCACTTAAAATAAACAAATCTATAAGAAAGACTAAATACCACACATATGTTTAGAACCCGCTCCCCTCTTGCCACTGCCAGTGCTACCACTCTGAACAAGCCTTTCTTGCCTCCTTCCAAGATTGCCAAAGCCCCCCATCTTCCTTCTTTGGTCCTTGCTCCCTCAGTCTACTAACACAACAGTCAGAGACAGCCTGTTAAAGCTGACATCAATCAGGCAGTGACCTTTTTCTATTCAAAATCCTCAATACAAACCTCATACAAACTATGAGGAAATGGAAGAGGAAATACTGTAGTTCCCTATTTTATGACACTAACAGCACTCTGATAACTAAGCCAGACAGGCACAAAATAAAACTTATAGACCACTACCCTTCATAGACATACGCACAAAATTATTTAAAAAAAATAGATGCTAAATCCAGCAACACAAAAGAGTAACACATCATGATCAAGTGGCATATATTACTAGGAATGCAAAGCTGGTTCAACATTACCAAAAAAAAAAAAAAAATTCCATGTAACTCAATAGCCTAAGAATAAACATGTAAGGAAAATTGGGGGACAGGCAGGGAAAGTTAAAGGTCCTTGGTGAAGTTTCTAGCAAATAAAGAGTTCAATTCCTACTCATGAAAGTAGCTGAGAAAAACAGAGCTGATAAGGCAGCCTGACTCACTTCATGCCATGACAAAATTCCCTCCTTCCTCCATCCACAACTAAGCACAAAACAAACAAGTGGGGGGATCTATATTATTTTAAAAAACACATTCCCAGACACTTATACATTGTTCTGTATAAATATATACATATATATTTCTCACCATAGTAATACACTAAAATGCACATATATCTTTTTACTAATTCAGCCTTGAATGTAACCCTGCTGTAAATCTCACAAGGTAAGCACCTGGACAGCACAAATAGCCCAAAGAAGTGCTTCTCCAAAAATGTACCTGTAGGCAAGGAAAGGGCAATGGTCATGTCAGGTGTCTCAGACCCCACAACAGCCAGTCAAGTTGTAACAGTTCTCAAGGGGGAAGAGTTCCTTTCTTGCCTTATAAAAGTGGTAGCGAACAAAGACATCCACACCCCACCCCACCCTGTGCCAGCTCTGGGCTCCCTACCTTACTCTGACAAGGCATCTATCTATCTATCTATCTATCTATCTTTCTCTCCTCTCCCAATAAAATGATTTTGCTTCCTCATTTCGCTTCCCTTTCTAATAAAGTGATTTTTTTTCTTCTAAACTTGTATCTCTTAATTCGTCCATTTCTGTTGGGCTTCTTGTGTACACTGCATAAAAATCGACCCTTATGAGACTTATCAAATGGATCGAGAAAAAACAGTTAACAAAATTCAACATCCATTTAGGATTATGATGGTGAATCTTGATTGGCTTGAGAGATGCCTAGGGGATAACTA